CGGAGCCAAAATTCATTTCCAGCTTCGTCTAAATTATTTGCTCCTCTTAATTTCATTCACGCTTTAGTTAATTCATGCACAGTTTCGCACACGACTATCTTTTCCACGAAAATTTACGGAATGTGATTCCCTCTGCTTCTTAGCTCCAACTTTAATTCGTATTCAAAGTCAAACTGTCGCCGCTTTGATGAAAGACATTCGTCTGAGTTTATCTACATTTTCGCTCTGATTATCTTTCCTGTTCATCCTTCACCCTTCCCATCAGTCCGAAACTTTTACCTCCCACTCTTATTCAGGATCAAATAGTTGTACTATTTCCGCGAACTTTTAACGTCGCGAAGAAAAATTTGCAATCTCGCGTGGGAGCACGTTAGCGAGAGAAGTGTTTGAATTAAAAATTTATCGTACCTCCTTCGAAACGAACGAATATCTTTCGTCTCGAATAAAGAAGCAGCTAATCAAATATGTTATGAATCACTTCGTCTTTGCTCGTCCGTTTATATCCACGAGCTTTTGAAATCAGCGAAATGATTTGTACGCCATTCAGCTGTTCACGCATTTCTCTTTCATTATCTCCTGCTTCACAGAGCTTATTGCTTCCAATTTTTTCCCCCGAGCATTCATTCGCTGATGTTCTCCAATACCCATTTCATCTTAATTACCATTATAATTCTTCGTTTATAGTTATGAACACTACCCTGTGTGATTTTTTGAAACGGTGTATAATACAGAGAAAAAAAGATATATCAATTTATTTCGATCGTGTGCAGGCTGTGTGTCCAGTTTGCTCCGCATATTGAAGCAGAAATAAACGGAAGTTGCGTAAAGTTGTCGAAGAAGGAAAACGATTTCTGGAGGAATAGTCCCCGTTAAAAGGTTTTTCCAGTATACGATGGCCTTGTTTCGGTAATCGTAATGAGTAATGAGGGAAACCAATTGCAATTAGACTCGAATGACGTGATTGCAATGATACCGGGTGCACGATTACTTGTTCTTTAACCGCATGCTTCGCGAATGAGCAACCCTACTTGCACTTGGCGCAGTTCCGCCTCATCGTTGCTTCATTATCCGTACTTAACGAAGGTTTTCTGCAAAGCACCACGATCGATTCGAGCCAGTTTCTCGTGGAAAAATAGACCATCAAGCTGCCGGGAGGAAATTTTCCCTCGTTCGCGTTGTATGGATATATGTGTAACGAGTAAATGAAATTATTTAGTAATTACTTCCTACCTCGTCGTAAATTCATAGTAATTAAATAAATATTCCCGGCATGGATTTTAATTAAAACAGATTATAATAATGTTGCAAGTGGAGATACTTCGTGCGATTGTAAAATAATACTTCTATTACTGAAATAAAAGAAACACTACTGTGGTAGTAGCCCTGTAAAGGGGATGAAAAAAAAAGGTGTGTTTGTTGTTTCGCGGGGAGAAAATCTAGTGCCTCGAATGGAAAGTTAATTTTTCTTTGCGAATCTTGCCAATTTTGAACTCGTGACTGTTCCTCTCGAAAAACGATGAAGCTCGAGAAATATCGGTTGAAAACTACGTGACGAGAGCAAAGAAGATGCATTTGCATCTCAAACGGCTCAGATTAAGAAGTTGAATCATTCTCATGATGCATTACAGTACACGAGCTTCTTACAGTGTGGCCAAATGTTCTTCGCGAAGTAGGTTACACGAAACTCGCATAGAATACACAATTGGGGTGGAGAACTTTTCCCGAAAGATGTGACAAATTTTCTGACAACAACTTTTTTAAGGCCGTTTATACACACTGCTGAGATATCCGGCAAATACTAAGTAAATATTCATGTTTGTATGACAATAATGAAAATTTATAATTATATTTTACAGTTATCGTAGGATAACACGAGTGAAAAGAATTTTACTTGTTATTTTACGTTGAATTTCTTCTTCATTAAATTACAGAAAATTGTACGGTACGCAAAAACTTTTTCGATAAATCTGTAATATTTCAGTTCTTCCAACGTATCACTAAACAAAAGCTTCATACACCACAAATACTCCCTCGTTTCCTATGTACTGTTATTCAAGGAAAAGTAGCACGTTTCTGCTTTTCGCAGGAACACGTAGCGAAAATAAAACACGGCAACGTGATGCGAGAAACACGTCCATTTTCTTAAATCCTTCAGTATTGTAAACGTGAAATTTTTAACTTGTTTCAAATTCTCCCTATTATTCGCCTGGAAACATTTTTGCTGTTAGTTCTATTTGTATTCCATTACGAGTCTCATTAGAAGAAAACATTCTCGTAGTTTCATTATAAATAAGGAGACGTTGAAATAATACCTACATTATAATGAAACTGAATTTCGAATAACAGAAGGTAGAAATTTTTATTCAAACTTTAAAATATTCACCGTTGAATATTTATGAATAATATCGAACACTTTCATTAAGGAGACACATTTATAATTCCTGGTAACGGTATTAATGAAAAGTATTCCAAACGCTTCGCTCTATATTATCATAATTAATGACAGCATTTTTTGCGAGGGTAGCTCACTAACGAAATCGCGTTAATATTTTAATCACCTGTTGAGCCACCGTTTCCTAGCCTTGCTGTTTCATTCAATACCATAACAGTTTTATTAATGGTACTCGTATTTCATCGCGTTACTCTAACACTGTATTCACCTTATCCATAGTGAGAGAATGATATGATCTAACTGTAAGAAAACTTTCTCCTTCTTCTGGCCATCGGAAATAGAGGAAAGTAGGTTGAAACTGAGCATCTCTGTTTCTCTGTGATAAGAGCTGTGATATGTGACCAAAAAAAAAAAAGAAACTTCCGGAAGAGAACTCATCTTCAGAGAAGAATCTTAACGATAAAGATACAAATTTTACACGGTTCCAAATGGACATTCGATTTTATCCTATATATGGGACAAAACTGAGAATTTCGACATTTTCCAAAAATCTTCTGGTATTCAAAAAAATTTCATGTCCTGATTGTGCAAGCTCCATTTAAGACTGCTGATGGTGTGTATAGTTTACTTCGCCTCCCGATTTCTTGTTAGCAGAAGAAATATAGTTCTGCCCCGCGATCTTTCAAAATCTTCAGCTAGATGCTCATTTATCCACGATCGAGCGTGCACCATTTTCGAAACTTGCTCAATTAGCAACACTTGAGTGATCGTACGATTAGAGAGGATTGCAAAAGAAGAGTTAAGATAGGACGAGAACAGACCTCTCGATATCTCCTTACGAGAACTTCACAATCGAGTTTTACGACAGAGTCTTACCAACAACTCTTGTAAGTTTGGGAGAGTCACTCGACTACCAAGCATCCACTCGAAAAGTAGAAACTGGAAGTCACATGTTGCGACGCGAAACCGTGCAACCAGCCTAGAACTTCTATTACCCGCTCCGCGATATTCCGATAAAACCGCAACGTGCATTCGCACCCCGTGAGCAGGCACCCAACGTTACTGCACACCGCCTCGAGCCACACCTGCGAACGCTACTTTGGAAGTTTTCCCGGGACCAAATAATTCTGAAACGAAATTACAGAGAGGCGCGCGTTTCCATCCAAATGGCTGAATTTTGTCGTCTATGTGTTATATACATCTGTGAGGTAAAACTCGCGTTCAACAACCGCGAAGTAAAACAGGTGCTGTCCCTATCGTTTTCAATTAAACGCACTTCGTGATGCACGGTGAAAGGAAAATTTTCACTTGAGAGACCAAAGAAAAAAAAATAACTAATTGCAAATGAAAGGGAAAAAAAAATATTCGTTTCCCGAAACATCCTTTCATCCCTGAAGATTCGAAGCTCTGGAGATTTTTAAACGAAAATATCCCCACTGATCTCGGATGTTAGGTTTCCGTGTGCACGTTCATTCTACGGTCTTCTCTTTTGTTTCGATCGCCTTCTACCGCAGCCGAATCGAAGGATCCGGGCTGTACCAGTCTGAGCTTCGATAATCCTCGCGGGATAAGAGTCCGGGTTAAATGTGGGAGGTACTGTAAGGGCAACGCCTGATGAAAAGTCGCGACCCGTAGAACCTTCGGCAAGGCTCACCGTGGCGAGTTCACGGATTACGCTAATAGGAACCCCATGGAATTTATACCAGCGCGGCCGGCTTAAAAGTTCAATTTCTGTTCGTAGCCCTGGCAAGACCGAAACGTCGATTCAATTACGATTAAAAGATTAACGAGATGCGTAACTGAGACAGGTCTCTTTCCTTGTAGCCCTCCTTCTGCTCTCTCTCTCTCTCTCTCTCTCTCTCTCTCTCTCTCTATCACGTCTTCCCTTTTCTTGCTTGAAAGCTGGAATGTGCCTCGTTGAGGATCCTCAAGCACTGCCGAGTCGACTAACTCAAGAGGGCATGATAATCCAACGAGGCTTTGACACTTGACTATGCTGCGGGTTCTATCATAGATTTTTGCATCTTTCGCCCTGGCCTCTGTTCGATGCTTCTACTTAATGATCTGTATCTTTTGTGTTACTTTTTTCTGCCGCAATCGAACGGTACACTCCAGTGTTGACAAAGAAATGCGCGCTGCGGAGTTTCGACGAAGTCACGTTTGTAAATTGTATCATTCGAAACGACGAAATTGGAGGTCTCTTTATATCAATTCTTAAGTGACCGGAATATTGACGAATTACAATAAATTCTCGTTGTAGATATATAATACATACATTTTGATATTTATTTTCATTCTTGTATCTAAGGATAATCGCCAATTTTGATGAAACTTTAGTATATAGTAGTTCTCAAAGAAATACTCGACACGTATCTTTTTATACTGGCAATAGTCCACAGTGAAGGGTTGAAAATCGCCCTGAAAACTGAAGGAGCGAATATACACCAAAATTTTATCACTTCGAGATGCTCCCTCGTAAGATGAATTCCACAGTTCGTATGTAGAATTGATGAATTTCAGTAACGTATCTTCAATTTTAGAAATGCTCCCTACAACAGCTCTACACGTAGCTCATAAATCTTAGCCAGACTGACGCTTTCTGTTGCAGAGTTTGAGAAAGGACGACTGCCGGCACCTTGACGAACTCAGAACTGCAAACTACCAACTTCTAAGTTTGCACGAAGGCCGAAGGGCGTGCGACCCTCCACAGAACTGTCTCGAGGACTTCCTTAAACCTATCTAAGATACGTCGGCCAAAGTGTTTCTAATAAATGGAGAACACCGTTTGCCCGGAGCGTGTAATGCAATACTTCAAATTCAACATCTGACTATTCATCACTACACGTGTTCAGGGTTGAAACTATCGCGTCAAAAGTGGATGCGAGAGGTGAATGAAAAATTACTAGACCCGAACATTCATTGCCCTCGCTTCGACGTTGAAGTGTTCATTCTGAAGCCTCGAGGAGAGACAGTATGAAAACGTTGTCAGCCCTTTTTTCTCGATCTGACGATAAATTACAGGTGAAATGTTCGTATGACAGGGATCTATTGAAATAGAGTGACTCGCTTCGCTCGAAAGCGGTTCATTTAAAACACCTGACATTTTTTTTTTTTCAAATCTTTTATCAAGCATTCAGCGCCGTTAAGCCTAAAAGCTTACCATTTTACCAACATCTACCGCTCAACAGCCAACTTTCGCAAAACTGCACGGATCAGGATTTTTACGTACCTTTTTTCGAATAAAGAGGAAGAGGAAAAAAAAGCAAGTTTCGACCATACATTCCCACGAGAGGAAGAGACTCCCCTCGGTAGAAATAAGTTGTTGCAGTTACTTCCACTGCGTTATCGATGAAAAGTGTTAACGGGTAAATCTTGCGCCAACCTCTTTCCAATATCGCTGTCGCTTCGAACTTCTATCCGTAACTTCGAAGATAATGATCTAAGGAGGAACCTTGAAATAAAGGAAAGAAAAATAATTTTTCTTTCCGTCAAAGCCAGATGAACTTTCTTACGGTCTAGATTTATGGAATCCACGATTGCCATCGACCGCGAGGAAAGAAACTTTACTGTGAATTTTAAATAAATCCAACAGTTCAAGAACGATAATGTGATTCAATTGTTTATACATATTTACTAATTGTGATAATGTATCGAAAATAAAACCAAAGAAATATCACTGAAACTGTAATAAATAAAGCCTAGTTCATGCATCGTTAATTGTGACCATTGGTCCAAGGAAAAACGTACAAATCGGATATTGAAGTTTGATAAAAATTAAAGGGAAAAAAAATTGAAACGAGAAGTATAAAGAAACTTCTAATTACCTGTGCTGGGATGCCCCCATGACAAAAGGGAGGCACGTGGTGATGTCTTGTTGTTGTTGGTGCTGCGACAACCTCGGCGGTGCCGGTTCTTCAAGTGCTGGTGCTGGGGGTGTTGTTACGGGTGCATCTGGTGGAAGTGTTGTCGTTGGTAGTAACGCCAATAACGGTGGTGGTGGTCTTGGTATTGCTTCCGGTCTTTCTGCAATGCTATCACTGGTAGTCGTCACCGTTGCCATCAGTACAGGAGAGTGGCTTCTGACGGAAGAGAAACTACCGAAAACTTCGTCGAATGTTTCTGTGGAACCTGACAGCAAAGTGACGTATAGCGGTCTGTGGAGAGTCTGCGTTGCCATAAGTAAGTATAATTAACATTTAACGCATAATTTTTCTTTAACGTGTTCCATTGAACCGTTTTGGTAAATCCATTCATTGGTTTACGAAAAGTGAATAAATCTGAACTGTA